GTGAGGCGGAGCAGCGAGAATTCCAGAAGGGGAAGGGGATCGCACTATGGAAGGCTTGCTGCAGGAGGGAATCTTCGGCGCCGACCAGTCGGACAGCAGCTGTCCGACCCCCTGCGCGCCCCCCTCTGTTCCATTCTATTCTCCTGCGCATTTAGTTGTATTCAGCCCAGGAAGGCCTAGGAAGCTCCCAGGTATGTTGTTTTTCTTTTTTTTTCTATTTCTTTTTTCCTCATTCTTTTTCTTTCCTTTCTACTATTTCTTTTTCATTTTTCTCTTTTTCTTTTCTTTTTTTTCTTTTTTGTTGTGTTCTATTGTTTTTGTTATCTTTCATTTTTTATTTTTCTTTCTTTTCATCTATTCTTCCTTTTTTTATTTTTCTTCTATTTCTTTTTTCCTTTCATTTCTTTTTCCATTTTTCTTTTTCGGTGGTCTTTTATTATTCTTTTTGCTTTCTTTTTCTGTTTTCGTATTTGATTCTTTTTTATTTTCCTTTCTTTTCTTCTATTTATTTTTTTATGTTTCACTTTTTTTATTTATAGATATACGCGATGTTCATGTAGTATACATGTAATGTTCTATGATGTATTTTTTTATGTCCGCGAGTAGAAATGTGAATATTCTACGATGTATTTTATGATGTTCAGTAAGCATACATTGGTGTTCTAGGACATTTTTTGCGATGTTCGGTAGCATTTTTCTTCTTTTTATTTGACTCTAATTAATTTTACTTCACTAATTTTATTATTTTATTTATATTTTCATAATATTTGTGATGTTCACGTAGTATACATATGATATCTTATGCTATATTTATCGATGTTCGTGTAGTCTTAATGTGATGTTCTACGATGTATTTGCGATGTTCAGTAGCCATTTTCTTCTTTTTATTTGACTATAATTAATTACTTCATTAAATTTTTTCTTTATTTTTTATATTTCATGGTATATATAATGTTTGCATAGTATATGTATGATGTTCTTTGCTATTTTCTGCGATGTTCGTGTAGTGTTATTGTGATGTTCAACGATTATCTTTAAATATAGGTTTATCTTGAGACAAATGTGCATTAATTTTTTTTATCGAAATATATCCACGTGGGATCTTATTTTGAAGAGTTTATTGCAAGGAACACGATGGTGCAATCGAATTTTAATTAGGATACTTGGTTTAGGAGATATTTTTTTTACTTCTAACAGCATGGGATATATGCTGATATCAGCAATTTTGGTTTCTAAAAGCATGGGATATATGCCTATATTATTCGAGCGAGACATACTACGCTGGCTCTTTTTTGGTCGTACTCACCGATAAATTGTTCAGTCGCTTATGAAGAGTACATTATTTTCTCCCTTCTTTATATTTGTTGCAGACCATCAGCCTGTTCGCTGATTGGTTTCTGGGCTGATAAGCCTGGCTGGTGCTGGTTTGTTGTGAGAGGAAAACACCGTTGGCTGGCTGATAAGCCCTGGCTGAAACCAACAAGCGAATAGGCCGCATGTGTTCGCATCTCAGTTTTGTCTCATGCAGCCTCATCTTTCAGCTATGTTGTAGTTGGTGTTTATATAACTGTTATTGTCCTTGTTTTGGCGGTATTTTGTTGCTCATACTGAAAAATTTCTGAGTTTTACATACATATAACCTAGACCTGGGCTTAGCAAAGTAAAAAAACTTGATCTCTTCACTATAATTGGCCTTTTTATATTCATCAGATGCCTCTTTCGACAATATTTTTGTTAGATGAAATTGCTTTCCTATTCAACAGTAGCCTTAGCTGAACTTTTCTACAGATTTCACCTACTGGGTTGCTATTTAGTTCATTAACGATTTTTGGTAGTCTCAGCTGTGTTTGCTTTAGAAATAAGGTCCACCTCCTATGCTGACAGTTCATCAACTTTATTCTTCCGAAAAAAAGGTTAGCTTACCTGACAACAAAATATGAACATCCTTGGCATCATTAGTGACGCTCCTTGCAATTTGAGTTCTACTGCGATGATCTATTCCTAGGCTCATCTATTGGGATCATGTCTCATACTACATTTTTTAGCTTTTGCTTTAGCGGCCCCTTGTTTTCATTACTAAGTACCAGGTCATTTTCCTTCAGAACAGAGGCTACACAGACAGATGCAGGTAACAACCATCCAAAAGCCTTATATTAGCGGTCCTGTCGCTTTAGGTAGAAAACATAAAATCATTTAAGGCACAAATCCATAATTTCTATGTGAGCTTTCCCCTATATGTCTTATTTATTTTTGACCGAACATTTCACGCCATTTTTTCTAAGAATGGCTCCATGTTTTGTACTTTTCATACATTATTGATTTTGCTGTTGTGACACCAATTGGCGCTTCATCCAATACTTTTCTCTTGTAGCAAAACAAAAATTGCCATTAGCCTTTGCCTAAACATGCAGGATCTAATACTGCATCTGATCTCTTTACAGATATCCAATGCCTTCAACAAATATTAAGAAGAAAGCAAATAACTATTGGGCATGCCATCTGAAGAACGGCAAAACAATGCCTGCCCCATGTTTCAATGCCTTTAACAAATAGCAAGAAGAAAGCAAATAACTATTGGGCATGCCATCTGAAGAACGGCAAAACAATGCCTGCCCCATGTTGCAGGGGGCCAAAAAAGTACTAAGCTTATTCACCTTTTCATCAAATTTGTGACATTGCTACAACTCCGCATAGGCCTTTCCTATTAGGTAACAAACAGGATTAGTTAACACTTCATCAAATTTGACTGTATATGACAGTGCTTAATGATCGTTACTCCATACATCAGCTGAGTAGCCACATAAAGGATTAAAAGGTTGCTGTTGTCAGCGGTTTATAGACACTTCACTTATAATGTGTATTGCGTTGGCTGCCACATCTATGTTAGACATGTAATCTATTCATAGTTGAATCCCGTGTTTGTGACATGATACTACTCCCTCCATGGCACATTATAATTTTTTTTGGCTTTTCTAGGTATTTTTTTTTGGCTGTGCATCTAGATTACCTCATAAATTAACCATTGCAAGATTACCAAAGACGCATGTGCCTATGCGTGCCAGGGCGCGCGGTTTCTACTAGTGCAACTTATAAAACACTCCATGGTTGTATGCATAAATTAAGGACCCTAAAATTACTATAAGACAACTTAAATCCAACTTATTGCACGTGTTAGCTCTTAAACCGCTCCTCCCACCTCCTTAAATTGCGCATGGCAGTATAGGGGTCGGGACTCGGAATGTCGATCTGGCGGGCACATTGATTATACCAAGAATTGACAGAATTTTTCCACTTGGCTTTCTTCACTAATCACTATGCCCGCAGTCAGTATACGGAGTATTTTATAGCAGATTTCTTCGGAATCGGGTGCTTCCGTTTGTGGCTTCAAGCAGGAAATTCACATTTCGCAACAAGGCTCATTCCCCCGACGTGAAAAGACATGTTTGCCCATGGAACAACCTCGTATTCTCTTCCCTGTCGCGCGTCCCCGACGTGAAAAGAGTAAAGACGTGTTTGCCCTTGGAACAGCCTCGTATTCTCTTGCTCTTGCTTTTGCTCGTACCTCGCGCGTCCCCGACAAGAAAAGACGTGTTTGCCCTTGGAACAGCCTCGTATTCTCTTCCTCATACCTCGCGCGTTAATAGCTCCTTCGTCCCCTATAAATATCCCCGGGTTGGGTTGTTTCATGAGAAGGATATTTTATATATACTAGATAAATGCCATTGTGTTGCATGAGGCTCAATTTTTTTTAAGTGAACCTTAGTAATTGGACATGAACGTGAGCTATGAGAACTTTGTATTGGATGCAGACACGTAGATTTTGTCTTTTTATTTGAACCAGTTAGGACGCGAATGTATGAGCTTTGAAGACTTTGTATCGGACGCAAACACATGATTTGGTCTTCGTGTCGAGTGAAGGATAAATAGTGATATTTACATGATCACTTGAAATCGATTAAATCCATTTTATAGTGCAACACCTGTAGTCACCATAGCTATTTAAGGCGAATTTGAGGGAATTGTTATTTGCATATGTTTACTTTAGATAAACTTACATCTTATTAAAACTATTTTATATGATTTTTTAGGAGATTGATTTTTTTTACACGGAGAGAGCTTATTGCGTATATGTTTTTTCCGGAAACGTTTTTTGTCGTATTTTTTATTTGGAAACAGGACGATGGTTTTTTATGATTTTTTTTGCCATATATGTTTTTATCTCAGATTTTTTTGGGACGGTGGTTTCGGATTTTTTTGGGTATAGGGCGGGGACGGGGGGCTTTATCTCGGATATTTTTTAAATTTTTTTTGGGACGGTGATTTCGGATTTTTTTTGCATATAGTGCGGGGGTAGGGGGGTGTTATCTCGGATTTTTTTTTTGCGTATATAGGACGGGCGGGGGATGCAGACATTTATGGATTTTTTTTTTTCAGGATGGTGGTTTTTGTTTATGGTTTTTTTTTTGCCGTTTATGTTTTTATCTTGTTTTTTTGGCGTATAGGGCGGGGGCGGGGGGAAGCAGACCATACCCGTAGGAATTTTTTGTTGCCCAAAAAAATAAAAATGGAAAAAAGAAAAAGAAGCCAGGCCATGGCTTGGCTCAGTCCTCTGGCGCAAAAGGTCCACGAGGCGGATTCTAGCCCAGCATTAGAAGCCCAACATGGGCTGAATTTTTACATCAGGAATCCCCGAACTTCTCGAATTCAATTTAGATTCTTCCACCTTTTCTTACCCTCGTAAATTTTTTAATCTGGAACCCTTTCTTATCTTCTATTTCTTTTTCTCATCCTCTGCCCTATCTACCCTAAGGGCTCCATTGGATTCAACCATTCCCCTGGTGGATTGGAGGGGGCGATCCAAACAAACCCTAAAGGGGCTTGCGGCAGTCTGTTTTTTTAACACGGGCAGGGTTAACGTGGGCGGGGGGTAAGATGATAGCGTTACTTATTTTTTAGATGTAATAAATATATATGCCACATTGCCACTTCGTCCAACTCCAATGGAGATGAAGATAATGTACGACGACGCCGAGGCGGAGATGTCCTCCTCGGCCCACGTGCAGAGACGCCATGAGAAGAAGGGCCGCCTGATCTGCGACGTGAAGCTGGCGAAGAAGGCATGGATTGCGCCGGGGCAGCACATCGACTACACCTTCGAGATCGAGATGCAGGCCATGGGCGGCAAGAAGCTGCCCTTCATCATGCGCGCCACCGGCTTCCCCGTCGCATTTTTGGTGCTTGCAACGCGGCATTCGCTTGATCGTATCAGCCATGCTTATCAGTCATGATATAGCGTTTTTCTCTCACAATAAAACAGTATCAGCCGGCTTATAAGCCACAGAAATGATCAAGCGAACAGGATGTACCGTTGTGTTTTATTTTGTGTTTGAAACCTCATAAGTACAGCCCTAAGTTTATTATTGGAGAAGGGCATAATAATAATACTGAAATCAATTACACTCGCCGTATGTAAATCAGGCCTAAAATTGTGCTGTAACCTGGTTCATCCAGTGTGCATGTTGCAGATATAGTTTCATTGACCTCCTAGATTTGGTATTAATTAAATTATTAAAGTTTCGCAAAGTTCCCTTCTCAATAGGAGTAGAGCTTATCTGCTTATGCCTAAAATAAGGTCTGCAGCTCTGTCGTTAAAGTTTCATTTTCGCCTTCTTTTCCATAAGTGCATCTACTTTCTTTTGAAACATTTGCACGATACAGCATATAGCAATATATGACACGGGTACTTTCAATGTTAATATATAGTACGATTACAGCTGCATTCGTGATGTTCTGCTCCTTAAGTTTCCATCCCTGCCATTGATCTCTGATTGCCATGAGGTTTAGCCATAGTATATCACGTCCAATAACTATTCAAGGTTAGGTTACAGCACTCACAGTTCGGCTGACAGAAATGAAAGGAGAATTCAGAAAAAATCGTATTCTCACGATACACCGCTGTGTTTATTTGAACCAATAAATTAAAAGAAAAAAATTGCACAAACTTGAGCATGCATCGGACAGCATACTCAGATACATACAAGTAAACTAAAAGAAAAACAGAATGCCAAGGATAATTAAGTAGGCAAAGATCCATGGATCTACTACGTGACAAACTGTGGCTTGCTTCCCGAGTGCCCAACAAGTGGGATGGAGGCGGCGATAAACGTGAGCACGACGAGGACCATGACGACAATGGCCAAACACTTGGCGTGGGGTCGAGTCACAGCTCCCACCGTCACCACCATGGACAGATAGAGCCCGAGAGCTATCGCACAGAAGAAGAAGAAACCAGCCACGTTGACAGGCCCTACCATGAAGCGTCCGGCGATCGCCGTGAAGAGGCCGCCAAAACTGGCGATGCCCTACGACAGGTCCAGCAGATGGCCCAGGTGAGGACTCTCCTCATCGTCTCCGATCATGTCCTGTGTGAAGAATGGCAACACGTGCCTATCGGCCGCGTGCTGCAGCTTTGGCTGGAGGAGGGCGACGACGACGGCCAGGAGTAGCGCGGCGAGGATGGCGAAGGCGTAGTGTTTGTTGAACGAGAGAATCAGAAGGTAGGTCGCCAGCTCTAGGAGGAGCCATGAGATGCAGACCAAGGCGTTGCCCCATTTTGACAGCAGCAGGATGAGCGCTGCATCCACGATGATAGCAACCAGGAACAGTGTGTCTTCGACACTGAATGTTGTTGATGTAGAATAGTCATGGGCCAGGGACACGTAGAACATGGGCATGGCGAACCAGAGCCTGCCAAGCAAGATGGGTCAAATCATGGGGTGGGCCTGCCAATCGCTGAAGCAGCAAATCCTTCATGTAAGATGGGAAGAAAAATCCGTTTTGGCCCACTGGGCCCTTATGCATGTGCACACCCACGTCCATTGGGCTCTGGCTTCTGTCGAAACGGCTTGGAGATCCAGCCTTGGCCCTTGGAACAGATAAAAAATCTCCTTAAAAAAAAGAAACGGTCATGTATTTTGTATATTTACTAGATCCGTGCCCGTGCGTTGCTACGGGTTTCAAAATCCATACTATTCTAGGTATTTTCTACAATCCTATGTATTTTTTAGCTAACACATGTAAGAAATATCTTGTGTGCATCATGGTTTCGATTTGAGACATACATGGCTAGCGAGAAATTTGGAATAGAGAATCTCTATATTTAGATAACCAATTAAAAAAGTTATTGGGGAATATTTTTCTATCAAAAATTCTATTCCTAACCATTAGTGAGGATACAGACAGTCTCTTGGAGTTGCTCTAACTCTGGCAATGACTACTAATGTTTCTAAGCTGAAACTGAAACTATGGATTAAAAAGCATTGACGCGGTGCATATTGATTTTCATGTAATATCAAATCACACATATTACATGATTATTTTTTAAACAACATACTGCATTATTAAGATTACTGCATTATTATTACTTTCGGCATAGCTAAAACTAAAATTTATTACCTTTAAATTTAATGCAGGTCATGTATGGCAATGATGATACCACATATGGCCTGCTCAAACAGCAAATAAAATTGTTGTCCAGTTATTCTTTGAAGGCACTCTGGTTCGCCATGACCATGTTCTACGCGTCCCTGACCCATCACTATTCTACATCAACAACATTCAGCGTCGAAGACACACTGTTCCTGGTTGCTATCATCGTGGATGCAGCGCTCATCCTACTGCTGTCAAAATGGGGCAACGCCTTGGTCTGCATCTCATGGTTCCTCCTAGAGCTGGCGACCTGCCTTCTGATTCTATCGTTCAACAAACATTACGCCTTCGCCATCCTCGCCGCGCTACTCCTGGCCGTCGTCGTCGCCCTCCTCCAGCCAAAGCTGCAGCACGCGGCCGATAGGCACGTGTTGCCATTCTTCACACAGGACATGATCGGAGACGATGAGGAGAGTCCACACCTGGGCCATCTGTTGGACCTGTCGCAGGGCATCGCCAGTTTTGGCGGCCTCTTCATGGCGATCGCCGGACGCTTCATGGTAGGGCCTGTCAACGCGTTTGGTTTCTTCTTCTTCTGTGCGATAGCTCTCAGGCTCTATCTGTCCATGGTAGTGACGGTGGGAGCCGTGACTCGACCCCACGCCAAGTGTCTGGCCATTGTCGTCATGGTCCTCGTTGTGCTCACGTTTATCGCCGCCTGCATCCCACTTGTTGGGCACTTGGGAAGCAAGCCACAGGTTGTCACGTAGTAGATCCTCCTTGGCATTCTGTTTTTCTTTTAGTTTACTTGTATGTATCTGAGTATGCTGTCCGATGCATGCTCAAGTTTGTGCAATTTTTTTTCTTTTAATTTATTGGTTCAAATAAACACAACGGTGTATCGTGAGAATACAAATAACATGGATTTTTTCTGAATTCTCCTTTCATTTCTGTCAGCCGAACTGTGAGTGCTGTAACCTAACCTTGAATAGTTATTGGACGTGATATACTATGGTTAAACCTCATGGCAATCAGAGATCAATGGCAGGGATGGAAACTTAAGGAGCAGAACATCACGAATGCAGCTGTAATCGTACTATATATTAACATTGAAAGTACCCGTGTTCGCTTGATCGTTTCTGTGGCTTATAAGTCGGCTGATACTATTTTATTGTGAGAGAAAAACACTGTAGCAAGACTGAGCGAACAGGGTGAGAGAAAGCAAGCTGCCAAGCATGCATGAGGCAGAAGCAAAAGCAGAGCATGAGGCAGAGGCGCAGACCAAGAGCAAGGCAGTAAGCTATTGTGGGCCAAATTAGCAGCCCAATATCCTATCCTAAACCCAACGTGCATAGCCGCCGCGTCGCCCGCACAAATCGGTATGCGTGCCCTTCCCTTTTATTTTCCGACCATCGTCCGTCCCGCTCGAGATGGCCGGCCGTTCCGCGTCGCCACGCGCCGGAGACGTGACCAGACGAGACCGCGACCGGACGTGGACTACTACTACTTGCTAGTCCCCGTCCCCGACCGGAGTCCACCGCCGCCCACCCGACTCAACCTGCAATGGCGTCCTCCATCTCTGCTCCAGCTCCACTGGCGGCTCCGGACACCGTGTCGGCGCAGGCCAGGCGCTGCCACCCGGCTGTCCAGATCGCCGGCAACTACGCGCCCGCCCACCGGTGAGCTCCGGGTCTCCGGCCGCGCCCCGGCGTGCCTCGACGGCGTGTACGTCCGCAACGGCGCCAACCCGCTCGACGCGCCGCGCGCGGGGCACCACCTCTTCGACGGTGACGGCATGCTGCACGCCGTGCGCCTCCGCGGGGGCCGCGCCGAGTCGTGCGCGATTCGCTTCACGGAGACGGCGCCGCTCAGACAGGAGCGCGCCATCGGAAAGGCCGTCTTCCCCAAGGCCATCGGCGAGCTCCACGTCCACTCGGGCGTGGCGCGCCTCCTCCTCTTCGACGCGCCCCAGGGGATCGGGGTCGCCAACGCTGGGCTGGTGTACCATAACAACCGCCTCCTCGCCATGTCCGAGGACGACCTTCCCTACCACGTGCGCGTCACCGCCCACGGCGACCTCGAGACCGTCGGGCGCTACGACTTCGGCGGGCAGCTCGACACCGCCATGATCGCGCACCCCAAGCTGGACCCGGCCACCGGAGAGCTCTTCGCGCGCAGCTACAATGTCGTGTCCAAGACGTTCCTCAAGTACTTCTACATCACCGCCGACGGCTGCAAGTCCCCCGACGTCGAGATCCCCGTCACCGAGAACCACGCCATCATCCCGGACCAGCAGATCGTGTTCAAGCTCCAGGAGATGGTGCTGGGCGGCTGGCTCCCCCGGGGTGTACGACAGGAACAAGACCGCGCGGTTCGGGGTGCTGCCGAAGCGCGCCACCGACGTCCTGCAGTGTGTTGTCAGAGCGCGCTTCCAGTTGTGAGCGTCCCGGCAGTGCAGCTCAATTGGAGAATGAAGGCACGTACAGCCACAGGTAGGTATTAGACTACTAGCCCAGCCAGCCCCATGTTCTTCCTAATTTTCCCTTTCTCGCTCCTGCTGTCCTGCAGCGCATATCTGGCTTGGCATTCCGTACACGCCATTGGGATGCATCACACAACGGATCCAACTTCTGTAAAGTAATCCACAGATTGTAAAGTACTCCAATCAGGCAATCACAGAAAGACACTCGACATGCTCTGAGAAGAAAGCCACTCCAATACTAGAACGGACGCCTCTCTCGCCCGTTGGATGAACCAGTCTAGGGATCTTTATTTGCTTATTATCCCTGGTAATCTAAATAAAAGTTCTTTATTTTTGCTTTGATGTAGCTGAGTATCCTGCGCGGTGCTCTTATTTTTTTATTTGTTTTTATGTAATGTGAGTTTATTGGTTCACGTACAGCAGTATAATTGAGAATACAAACCACAGGAATTTTGCCTGAATTCTCCATTCATTTCTGTCAGCTGAACTGTTTTCTGGAATGTGAGTGCCTGGAGCGATGCATTGTCAGGGTGTTGGCTTTACAGGTTAAAAAGTCATGGTTATAACTTATAATCACCGACTTGAGATGTGTTCTGGAATAGCTCCAATCCCTATCTAGCAGGTTGTGAGGATATTTTTTGCCTAAGGTAACAGACTTAATACATATAGCAAGTTCCAAGTAGTACATAAACAGGAAGGCTAGGCCAATTACCACACGTCGACACTATAGCTGGTCGCTTCATGCTTGCTTCAGTCGGTGGTCGCCGGTTGCTCAGGAACCTCTGCAACAAATACAAGTCCCCCTTACCTTCGAGAAAAAGAAAAAAAAAACAAAGACAATTCTCATATTTTACTTTAGAATCATAAAAATCCAGTGAGCAATATCTCTAGCAGCAAAGCATATCTAAGTTAGAAATCTAAAGTTATTCCTGACTAGAAGAGCAACAACAACAACTACAGACATGTTAAGTCATATTCCTTTGTTCTTGCTCTCAAATTGAACACACATATGAGGTTACTAATTGCAGAGCAGAGCATTACGCAGGGGCGCAGAGCAAGAGCAAGCCAGCAAAAAGCCAATTGTGAATAGATTAGCGGAAACAAATGGGACAAATTGGTAGCCCAATACCATGAACTGGCAGCCAAACCCAACGTGCAGCCTAATCGCCGTCCTCCCTCCCTGATCGGACAACTAATCTCCACTAGTAGTATGCCCGTGCTAACGCTACGGCTATATTCGGACACACAACTCAACACGCCATGATGCCAAAAAAAAACTAAGATCCAGGAATAATATATACCTTTTCATTGAAATTTACTTAAAATTTCTTCTAAAACAACAGATATATAACTCGAAATTTCTTCAACAATTACATTGCAACTCCACTAATATAATAGAACCAAATACTTTAAAACTCTTATTGAGAAAATTGATCTACAGTTTTTTGAAAGATTAAAATGATGTCAGCCACCGTGTACCCCTCTGGCCAACAGATTTGGTTGTCCCTCGGCCAATCAACTTCAAGTTTCATGCCAGCTCATGGAGCCTTTAAGATAGTTCAGTTCTTGTTGTAAGCAAAATGCTATTAATTATTTTACTAACGAATATCCAAGATTAGAGGTCTGCAAACGCAAGAACTCTAGGACAAGATTAGAGGGCTACAACCAATTATAGAGATGAATACAAGAACTACACTAATGGTTTGCTCATTATTAATTGAGGACAAGCAGCATCATGTTCAAATATTAATGAGAAATTTAATCAGCTGAAATATTAAAAGCAGCAACTAAAAGAACAATTTTGACATGAGAAAATATACTTTGAAGATGATGATATGAAAACCTAGAAACACCATTCCGTATTTCCCAAACTCACGTTGGTTGTGTCGGCAAGCATAGAGCAAAATCAGACTTCTGGTCGTACACTACCGCCACTGCCTCTAGATCCAGCCACACCCCTCCTCCACCTCTGCTACCTAATTAGTAATATATTAGATATTAGATAGATGCGAAACCTCCAGAAATCCTTTATATGTCACAAGTATGTACTTTTAGTTTCAAAGTCAAGAAGAGCATCACACAAGATACTCCATCCTTCCTGAAATGCATGGTTGCCTAACTGAATCAGAGGCAAGATTCTCCTTTGGAACATTGATAGTCAAAACAAATTCCAAATGTCCTAACCGAATGGCAGAACATTGAGCCCTCTTTTAGTATGAGTTACTAATATTAACAATACTGCACATTCATTGAGAAAACAGGCCAAATATAAGTTATGGCTTTCAGCTTTTCTCAAGGTTCCTCCCCTTCTTGCTTAGCCGCTAAATCCTTTAGCCCACTATTCTTAGCTTTTGGGAAAGCCAGCCGCTAAGGGGATTAGCCCGCTTGACCAGAAATTATTAAAATGCTCTGGACAGAAATATGAGGGTTAAACTCCTATACTACTCAGCTATACAATACAGTACAAAGACATATATATAACATACAAACATCTGAATTATGTCTCAGCCGGCTTATCAGCCGTACTGCGGCTTATTCCCTCTTACATAACACTATTGAAACAGCCAAAATCAGCCGTGAAAACCATCAGCCGAACAGGTCGATACTACTCTGCCAAGCATTTACATGTTCTGAAACAACAGTTTCATTAGTCATTTGAATAAATGAGAATGGTAAAATTTAAGAGGAAAGAGATAATACCTTGTTAACAAGATTCTCAAACGCTTTTGCTTCATTTTGCTCAATGTATCTCTGTGCAGTTGAAATTACATCATCAGGCCTACTTGATTCATCCTTCTTTGGAAATTACCAGATGCTCACAAAATGCTCATATGCATGTGCAACTCCACTGAACTGTGGCAATACTAACCAGCAATTGAAAAACAGTTTTGCGTAAGACAAGAAAGGGAGCCTGCAAAGTGCAAAAGTTATGCTTGTGATGAGCATTTCCATCATGATATGATGTATCCAAGAATGTTATCAGCCATATCATGAGATAGCAGTGATTGATGAAGTGAGTAGTAAACCAGAGATGGTCAATAGGAAAGAAATCAAGGTAAGATGAAATGTGCACATAAAACTAAAGCTAAAATGAGTAGAACACCTAGCACGTGAGCCATTGCTGATCATACACTGCATATTTGTTTCAATTGCTCTAACAGAGGCATACTTGTGGAAAACGTCCAATGAGGTAAAACAGAAACAATAACTATCAAATTAAGACAGTTAGCATCTATATGTTTATCTAAAAGGTTACTGGATTAACTTACAGAGGATACGCAAGTGAAA